AGACAACAAAGATGAACCCTTTTGCACATACAGTACTGCATTGTCACTGAAGGCAAACATGGATATATGGGTGGATAGATGGATGGACAGGCTGAACTATTAGGTATGTCTGTGATGCAGGGAGTGTGCCCCAGTCTATGTATAGAGTTGGCAGCAATGTTTCTACAAATGTATTTGTATGTTCTGTAAGAATTCCCAGGTATATAGTAGAGCTAACAAGGTTGTAGTCACTTCTTGGGGACAGCCAGCAACCCAGAGGGAGAGAGTGGTTGGACCTGTGGGCTCAGGACCATAGTCACAGGGGACATCAAGCTCAATTGGCATACCATACTACACAAAACATTGTTATACATCCTACTTTGGTGAGTAGCAACTGGGGTCTTAAAAGCTTGCAAACAGCCGTCTTGATGCAATGATGGGTCTCTCCTCATTCAGACCAAAGCAGCATGAGGAAAACTGAAGATTCATGGAAAAAATTAGTCCAAGCAAGCAGTACACCATGCAATCCTCAGCCTAGGCAACTATGAGACCAGAAAAACTAGATAGTGCCCGGCTACCACTGTCAACCATTCAGAGGGGGATCTCTGTAGGAGACCCTGGATACAGTGGGAGAACAATGTGGAACAAAACTCAAAATCACTTGGAAAAAGAAAAAGCAGACCAGGTTGCTGGTCTGATAGAGCCTGGTGGAACCACTGAGACTATGGCCCCTAGCTGCCCTTCAGGTCTGGAACTGAAACCACACCTGTGGCTTCCAGCCAAACAAAAGACAGGCATATGAGATGAACATTTATACTAAGCAGATACACTCCTTGGAGATAATAATCATGGGAGAATAGAAGGGTTGTGTGTGCACAAGGAGATAGCTCAGGGGGCAGGAGAGCATGGAGGAAAGGACACAGGGAAGAGGTAACTATGTGGAGGAAGTGGGAGGGGAGCTGTTCCATTGTGGTAAATTGTAGTCAATGTCATGAGACAAAGTGTTTGTGAGCTGCTATATGGAAAGTGAATTTGCTCTGTAACCTTTCACCCAAATCACAATTGAAAAAAAAAAAAAAAATCACCTATATGAGACCAAATGTTCAGCAGCTACTTTAAAACAAAGATGAGAGTGTAAGGAGGTAGGGAAACTAGATTAATGGAAATGGAGCAACTTGAACAGAAATAATGAGAATGTTCATACAATATGAAGAATGTAACCAATGTCACTGAACAACATCTGTAGAAATTGTTGAATGGAAACTTACATTACTCTGTGAACCTTCACCAAAAACACATTAAAAAAAAAAAAAAAAAAAGTAGTGAACCCATCAAATTAATGAGAAAAATTTCATCCACTTTAGGTATAAATATTGGACATACCACAGAGGGCTTTGTATTTCTGATTAAACAGTTAGAATGACAGATGATTCACTGGAAAACATGTAACTGCATGTAAATTCTGTATGTTTCTATAGGGTATGTGTGATGACAAAATCATACTTACCTTGCACTTCCCCAAAAAAGCATGTATTAGCTAGAACTAGCTGTACGCTTACATTACTAAAACTCTTTACTCTTTTAATAACACACAATATTTAATACACAAGGCAAGATCAAATATAATAAAAATTAAACCCACAAGTCACAAAGGAAATTGAAGTGTATTTTAAAGCAGAATGCTTCATGTTCTCAGAGGTATCCAAGCAGCAAATTTAGAAATACTTATGAGTTCTACTCGATATTAGTGCTAATTAATATGTGCTTACAATGATGCCCTTTCATCCAAGTACCTCAAAGAGCTTTTAAAGCATTAATTTGTTATTTCTTATGTTTCTGAGGGCAGGCCAGTAGAAAGTTATTATTATCTCTATTTTACAGCCAGAAAATCTAGGGCATACAGAGGTTGTAAGTTTGCTAGGGTCATACAGTGAGATTAAGTATCATAAAAGAGACTGCAAGTTAATTCTTCTCATTTCTAGTTCAGTTTTTATTCATGACATGGTCATTTAACACGCTTAAATATACTTCTAAGAAAAGTTAAAGAATTTTTTAAATAATCTAACAATAGAAGAATTCCTCATTTTTCTATCAAAAACTGTTGCTATATAGGAATATAAAGTAAGAACTAGTAATTAGTCTGGTTTGCTGCTGTAACTATTATTTATAGGCTTTTTACTATTTGTGGCTTTCTGATGCTTCTGTTCAAAAAGAACCATTCTATTTTGCACTTCTTTATGCTAGGTAAGAATATCTGTGAACAACTAAGAAGCTGCTGAGACAGGCAGACTAATGAATTTGAAGTTGTCTTTCACTATATTTCCATTGCTCATTCTTCTTGAAGTCATCCTCTTTCTAGTCCTTGGTCCATGGCTACTTGTCTGTTGTCAATAATGAAATAAACATATTTCTATTACTAAAGTATCAACATAAATAATGATACTTCATTTTATGAGTTTACCATGCTATACCAGGAGGTCTGGTAGCATAGTGCCTAAGGCACTTGACTGCTAACCAGAAGGCTAGCAGTTCAAACCCACCAGCCACTCCTCAGAAGGAAGGTTGGGCAATCCACTTCCCTAGTGATGTTGTTGTTGTTGTTATGTGCCCTCAAGTCAGCCCCGACTCCTAGCGACCCCTCCTTGGGTTTCCTAGGCGGTATCACTACGGAAGTAGATTGCCCAACCTTCCTCCCGAGGAGTAGCTAGGGGGTTTGAACCACCAGCCTTCTGGTTAGCAGTCAAGTGCCTTAGGCACTATGCTACCAGAGCTCCTCAGGGATACTGCCTCAGAAACCCAAGGAGGGTTCACTATGAGTTGGGTCCAACTCGATGGCACAGAACAACATAACAACACGCTATACCAGTCACCAACGTCATATTCAGTTTCTAGTAAGATGACCTTTGCGATCTTTAGAAAATTATTAAGTATTTGATTATTGGCCTAAAAATGGGCACATATCATGACACTGTAATTTTTACAAGTATTTTATTGTTTTCAAGAAAGATTTACACAGCAGTTTAGGTTACTATTCATCAATTTCTACACAAGTTGTTCAGTGACATTGGTTACATTCTTTGCAATGTGTGAATATTTTCATTATTTCCATTTTGGTTATTCTGTTTCCATTAATCTAGTTTCTCTGCCTCCTTACATTCTCATTTTTATTTTAAAGTAATTTTTGTTGCCCGTTTGGCCTCATTCAGGTGATTTTTTAAAGGAGCATAATTCTTTGGGTGATATTTTTTGAGCCAGTATGTTATTTAGCTACAAGGTGATCTCAGGGGTTAGTTTCAGTTCAAGGTTTAAAACTATCTCAAGGCAACAGTCTCAAGCAGTCCTTCGGTCTCAACCAATCCAGTTGGTATGTTTTTTTTTTTTTTTTCCCCCCCAGAATTTGAGTTTCTGTTCCACCTTTTTCTCCCATTCTATCAAGATCCATCTATGGTGGCCCTTGTTAGAACAGTTGGTAGTGGTAGCTGGGCATCATCTAGTTCGTCTGGTGAAACCTTTTTTAACATTAATATTTCAGAAATTTTCTCAAGTCAAAGTAGAGAGAAAAAAACTGGTTTTAAAGTGCGTTCAAGGATGTGAGATTCATGATCTGCTTTGATGTGGTAGGTCAAGTCGGTGGTATTTCTAACTCCAGCTTAGATCTTCCCTAAAACTCCAAGCCCATACAGCAACCACCATAGCATAGAATCATTGATACTTTAAAGCCATAACCTCTAAAACTAAGCTAATTTTCCTGCTCTTTGCCCCTCCATCTAACCCGTCCTCCAACAGAATAGCTTAAATTGTGTATCTGTTCAGCAGCAGTCCTCTATTTGAATCCTTCAAGGGTTATTTCAGGATGGCATAGAAGTTCATTCAAAATTTGGCTCCTGTCTGCTTCTCTTTTTCAGCAACTCAGGCTTAAACTCTAAATCCTGTAATTATTACTCAGACCTCTTGGCACTCATTATTTCTTGTCCCTGTACCTGTGTACATACTGCATGTTCTATGGAATTCGGATTTGCCACCCTGTTCCTTATTTTGGGGCCTGAAAAATTTCACTTTATCTTTCAAACTCTAAGCCAGTTAGTAAACTCATCTATTTGTTCTTCCATATACCTTGCTATCTGTACTTTCAATAATTATTTGCTTTCACGTCTGTCTGCCCATTTAACTGGGCTTTCCTTGAGAGTAAGGACTGAGCCCTGCTCAGTACACAGTTGGTACTCATAACTTTTTTGGGGGAGGGGAGAGACAAGACAATGTTACGAGATTAAAATGAGTAAATCTTAACACGTTATATAAACGATCTATTTTGAATAAGGTGTATTTAAATAAAGCAACCAATTTAGTGAACTACTTCTAACCAGTTCCCAGTTCAGAGTGCTGTGGACATGCAGGAAGATCTGAGCGGCACACCAAGTTTCACACTAGCAGTTCGTTGGGGGGGCGGAGGCCCACAGCCTCTCAGAAAGAGCTCCCTGATTCCCTGAGAAGGCGAGTTCTCCAAAGGTCCAGCAGTTAAGCTTGAGACCCAGAGCAGACAAAGTGACTCGCCAGCCAAGGCAGGCGACTGAACCACCTCTGAGGGTTCGGACCGCAACAAGCCACGTCGCTGGCTCCACTCTGGAAAACCCTGACCACAGTGCGGGGGCGGCCTCCACCCTACGACGCCCCAGGAGAAGGAGCTGCCCCACTAAAAGCAAGATGGCGGCCTCACTCTCCCCTCCTCCCCCCAAAAACCCCTCCTGGTCCCCAGGAGAGATAAGGACGTCGCGGCGCCGACGCCGAGATCCGGGAACCTCTGCGAGCCCGCAGCCACGCCCGGTTCCCCGGGAGCTGACTTCACCTCGCGGGCGCAGGGAGCCAGGGTGGGGCGGCCAAAAAGCAGCGCAGACAGCTCTTGGGACGCACGGGGCGGGTACCAAATAGCCCACACCCTCCCGACCATTGTTCTTCGGCTAGTACGCCCTTCTCTCCGCCCGCGGGCAGGAAGTCGCTACCCGGCCGGCCCCGCCCCGCTCCCTAGCGCCCCGGAAGTGATCTGCGGCGGCTGCTGCAGAGCAGCCAGGAGGAGGGTGGATCTCCCGAGAGTGGAGCGGCCGGAGTCCTCTTCCTCCTCCTCCTCCTCCTCCTCCTCCTCCTCCGGCCGCCCAGGTTCCCCCGCCTCCCGTCTAACTCTTGCTGCTCCTTGGCGGAATATCTTCCTGAGGACAAGGGCTGGGCACCCTCCGGCCGGAGTCAGCGCAGCCGCGGCGTCTGGAGTCCGTAGGGCGGTGGACCGGCTCGCGGTGCAGGTGAGAGATGCCTGTCCCGGCAGCCCAGGGAGGGGCTTGAGCCGCCCGAGAGGCTGCGGGGGTGTGTCCGGGCGGCGGCCGGCCGAGGCCCAGGTGCAGGGTCCAGCTGCCGAGATTGCACATCCCGCGTTCCGCTTGGAAGACGAGCTGCGGGACTAGCCCGGGCTGGAATCCCTGGCGCTGCGTTCGCGGCTGTGCGGGAGACTGCGCCCCCGAGGGTGGGCGGCTGCGGCGAGGTCCCCCACGAGTTGGCTTCGCTAGGAGGTCACCCCACATTTCTGGGCCGTCCCCGCCACGCCGAGGTCCCCGGGCGGTGCCCGTGACCTGGGGGATCCATCGCCGCAGTCCTTGCGCCTTCCTCTGTCCCCACTCCTCCCTCCCTTTCTTTCCGTTTCTTGTTTTACTAAAGCAGTTGCTTTTTAAGCATCTCCTCCAGTGTTTTGTGCCAGTTAAAGGAATGGTTTTTTAAAACTGAAGTCATTAGGCACTGAACTGAAGAGCTGAGGCTGGGCTCTTGCACAGGTTTAGCCCATATTCGGGTAATCTAACCGATAAAACGAGGAAATAGAGTGTGGGTATTTCCGTCTGTGGAGGTTTTGTCTCCCTTCGTTCCTAAAGGATTTCCAGATGTGGAAGATGTGATTCGTATGCTTTAGCCAGGGTATATCTGTAAGTAGGCAGGAATGACGGCGCAGAGGTGGCAGCGCCCTTTTAAGGTTTGGGGAGAATCAGGGAGTTAACTGGCCTTTGCTCGGAAACCTGAATGCCCAGACTTGTGAGAGCGCATCCAGGTGTCATTGATACAGTGTGAGAACTCCAGTGCCACGCCCTATTCGTAAAGCTGAGAAGCACCTAATTTTCAGATTGTGTTTAGTGTAGGGGTAAAAACTTTCCTAGATAAATGCTGTTACTTTTCTATGATTCGAAGGCTTTCTAATTTTTTAGCTTCCTTATCTCTAAAAATTGAGTTTGTATGTTACACTTTAAATCATCCTTTGAAGAGAATTTCGTTAATGTCTAAGAACAAATTTGATGTTCTTTTAATAAAACGTGTCATAAATGAATTCTTTTGCTAAAAGCCAGTTAACAGTTGAATCATGTTCCAAAAATTGGATGAATTTCATTTGTAAACTCTCAGTAGAAGCTTTTCCTTTTGCCTTATGCTTATTAATGTATTTAAATATATTTTATCAGCTTGTATTTTTCTGACTCATTAATACAATGTTGTTATAAAATAACTCTTGTGACTCTTAAAACATTATTTTTGGACCTTGAATTTCTTCCAGGCAGAAGCCATACCTTACTGTATTTCCCTGTGGAACATACAAGCTACTCACCATTTCTTCATGGAATGAATGTGTAGGTGATCTCACTGTCGCCTTCCAAGAGTCATTTATTTTTGTTAAGTTAGGGCTTTTCTTCTACATACAGACTTTGCTTTTTCTTGTTCTTCAGAAAGGTCAAAGGAACAATACAAGAAAACTTTGCCTTCCAAAACTATCTGTTCTTCTTTGAAAGATTAAAATTATACTTGAGGGATTATGAGTGGACATTATAATAATTTGTATCCCAGTGTTAAATGTTTACAACTTGAGCATGCTTGTGCAGGGTTTTTGGGAAAGAGAGTCCCTGATGATAGGCAGTAAGTTTATATTTGGAGTTTGTAACTGTACCCTGTTCTAACCAAAAAGAAGAAATTGAGAGTTGCTAGTGGTTGGAAAGGAGCTCTGGTAGCATAGTGGCTAAAGCACTTGACTGCTAACCAGAAGGCTGGCGGTTCAAACCCACCAGCCACTCCTCGGAAGGAAGGTTGGGCAATCCTACTTCTGTAGTGATACTGCCTCGGAAACCCAAGGAGGGGTCGCTATGAGTCGGGGCCGACTCGATGGCATATAACAACAACAACAACAGTGGTTGGAAAACACCACGCATCACAGGATTGCTTAGAGTGTCTGTTTCTTCTCAGGGATACATGAAATCTTCTGACACTCTGGTATGACCTTGGCATAGATAATGAATAGCTACATTAACATTTGTTTTCAGAGATCCAGGTGCTTTTCCTTAGTATATCTGCTTAGTGTGCAGTCATCTGTATCACTTGTTTTGAAGCAGTTTTTCATTATAATACTTTATTCTCATGGTTGATTATAGGAAATAATTTTGTCTATCATTTGCGAGGGAAGATTTTTGTCTGTAGAGGGTTGGGTTTTTAAAAGTGCTGATGTTGTCTTTCCTCCAACTATCTGATTGTGGTCCTGCATGGGTTTTCCAAGTTCAGATTCTGTGAAATGTAAATAAACCAGTATCACTTCTTATAAATGTATGTATCAGTGTAATATATACTTGTAATCCCAACTCAGGGTAAAGATAATGACTTTTAAAATACTGGCATAAGAGGCTGTGAATGAATGCTAATGAGGAAAAAGATTATGACTTTGAAGAAATAGGGAAGCAATTGATGGTTGTTCTATAATTCTTAGACACTAAGGAGACACTTTAATTCTTTTATCTCAGCAATATTACCACTATGCAGAGGTCATATTTCCCTTTAATTCATCAACTCTCCTAGGAGTAACAATTCTCATGTATTGATTGCTACCAAGCACCATGCCAAGAGCTTTACTGATATGATTTCTAATTTCCCTAATACCTTTACAAGGTGGATAGTTTTTCCATACTTTACAAAGGCCAGGTGACATTTCTTGCCAGAGGCTATACAGCTAGTGCACAGTAGAGCCTGGATTTTCAAGTATGAGCATGGATATTGCACTTAATCCTGAAATACTGAGGAAAAGGTAATTCTGATTGAGCCAAGCTTCAGGAAAGCCAAGATACTGATCTCAGCAGCACCCTTTGCCTTGAGTGGGGCTTGAGGCTACCCGTGATGCTGGACAGGTAGCTTTGGGCAGCAGTCTCTCTTGTGTTTATCTGCATTGCTCTTCTAGATTAAGCATTACCACTTTTTATGGGCGCCATGATGAAAACAAGGTTGGGAAGCTTTGCAGATCAGGGCATTGTTCACATAGGTTTCCTGTAAAGTACTAGGAACATAGCTCTGGTGTTTGATTAGAAATACTGATTTTCATTTCTCAGTACCTAAATGGCCTCTCCTTTTTAGAGGAGTACCATAAGCCTTTCCTGAAACCATGTTGTTCTTAGTCCCGTCCATGTCATCCCCCCTTCTCCCCAAGCTGGAGATGGAGAGGGTAGTGGTTAGAAGTAATAGTGGAAGTGGCAGAGGTATATTTGCTCTCTATTTTTACCATTTGAGATCATAAATCATTTTCTCTTTGGGTTTAGTATGCATTTTAAAGGTGACAGAACTCTTGTATGTCTAATTGTTATTCAGTATTAGTAGAATTCTCTTTACTTTTTCCAAACCAGTGTGATTTTTTTGTGTGTACTTTTAAATGGGCTTAATTTGAAGGGTGTGGGAATAAAATGTTTATTTTTGCCAAGTTATTTTTACTGGAGCTGTGTCAATAGATTGTGTTCATCTCTTGGTTTTAAGTAAAAACCAGTTCATTCTTTAAAGCCCATTAATATTCTTCATGTTTTTCTTATCTCTAAAATAGCTACATTTTTGCATTACTATATCATTACATTCAAAAAGATTTGATTTCAGTATAGGAAAAAAAAAAGAAACTAAAGCTCTGGATTTTCTTAAAAACTTTTATTGTGATTTGAGTGAAAGATTGCAGAGCAAATTCATTTTCCATTCAGGAGTTCATATACATTTTGTTTCATGACATTAACTGCAGTTCCCGCAATGTAACAGTTCTCTTTCTACTTACTCCCTATTATTTATCTCTTTCCTGTATCCTTTCCTATGCATTCCTGCCCCTGAGCTATCTCCCGGTGCAAATACTGCCCTTCTGTTCTCCCATGATTGATCTTTTTAAGGAATGTATCTACTTGATGTAAATGTTCACCCCACATGCCTGTCTGTTGTTTGGTTGGAAGCCATGGAAGTGAGTTCAGTTCCAGACCTGAAGGGTAACCAGGGGCCGTAGTCTCAGGGTTCTGGCCAAATTCTATCAGACTGGTCTTTTTCATGATTTTGAGTTTAGTCCCACATTGTTCTCTCACTCTATCCAGGATTTCCTGCACTGATTCCTTTCCAAGTGGTCGGCAGTGGTAATCTGGCACCATCTAGTTCTTCTGGTTTCATGGTCATATGGGCTAAGATTTGCATGGTCTACTAGTCCCTGGACTAATTGTTGCCATGCATCTTTGGTTGTCTTTATTCCTTGCTCTGGATGAGGAGACCCATTGTTACATCTAGATGTTTGCAGTAAGCTCTGTGAATTTTTGAAGTATTAGTAAATTTTATAAGAGAATTACATCTTTAATTTAATTATACCTGAAGCAAAAGATTTATTCCCTTCAAATGATGAAACTAGTCTGTAAAACCCCCAAATAGCAAGCTTCCATAAAGTATTATACTATTCTCAAAGGCCTTGGCAGACAAAGTCTTATATTTGATTCAGCAGACAAACTGTTAATACATACTTTCCTTGAAGTCTGAGATCCAGTTTCATTGCAGTACTTACTTATTGAAATCAACTATCAGGGTGTAAAAATGACTTGGTGGTCCTCTAACTTAAGGGGGAGAGAGGGGAATCAAGACAGTATTAGCCCAAAGTTGATTCTTAGTATATGGAAGTAAGATACATCTCCTCTCTCCAACCTTATAGACCAGTTTTGGTAAAAAGCTATCCCTCCCACAGCACTGTCTACCTCTCTGCTGGATTTGGTAATTTGTTGCAGTGGCCAAACAGAACTCATGGGCACTCCAATATGGGGTTTATTGGGGAGGGAAATAGGTTACAAGTGGAAATCAGGAATGACTCAGGATGCATTTCTTCTACCAGGACAGCCTCTTCACAGCCTTGACTGCAGACAGACTCCTTCTGGCCATGGACCTCTCAACCCCACAGCCCCTCAATGACCTGGCCTCTGCCGTTTTAGACAGGTATTACAAAGCCTTTCAGCATGGC